AGTTTCATCACTGTGTCTGTCACAATACTCTGTTCCCCTTTCGGGCTCTGTCTTTACATTTATTTTGAAGCTCGCGATTATGGTAAGGGGCGTTACATTTCCGACGAGTGCTTGCGGTGTTCGGCCAATCACAATGCACTGGGTCAGCTGGCCAATCAGAGCAGACTGCGCTTTTCGGAAGGAGGGACTTTGTAGAAAACGAAGCGTTTGAGAGAGGCGGGGCATAGAGGACCTACAATAATGTACAGTATTTGAAAAATAATGTGTTTTTTGAACATTAAAGCATGTCAACATATTCTGTTACATCAAATACACAAAACAGTGATCTTTAAAAAAGCATCATATGACCCCTTTAATATGACATTCTGATGCCATGGTACTGCCACAGTACTTTTTATAGGTAGTTTTAGCATATGAATATGTTAATCATGTACTGACATTCCCATCTGACCATCTCACAGCACCAAGGGAATTTCTTCTTGACACCATGCATTGGATTTGCAAACTATTGTTTATTTACTTATTTGTCACTGTTTACAAAAACATCAAAAATAGAGACAAACACTAAGTCATAAAAATGCGTACTGGAGTATAGCTAGTTGGCTTGTAGACATAAACGTTACACTTATAAAATGTCTAACACACATAGCTTATAACAGGTTCTGGCCTAAGCAGGAATGAACATAGAATTTGTTTAAACAAGTATCTGAATGCCTGTGACCATTTTTAACAGATTCAAGTCGAGATTTAACACATCGCTTCATAACTCAATCACTTCAGTTGGCCTCATGTATGCTGACTCTCTTGCATGTGTTCTCAGTGCAGCGCTCCAGAATGAGCTGAGGACTGGGCCGCGGAGGAATGACTGGAATACTTTCATCCAGATCTTCTGCTTGAGGAGAGCCTGATTTTGCGATGTTCTCTACATGAACAGAAACAGAATACATTTTAAGCAAAAAGAAAATATATATCCTGGTCTGTAAAACTAATCTTTTCAAAAACCTTTGTCAACCAGAGCTACATATTTGGCAGGCAATGCATTAAAGGTCCCATGACATGCTGCTTTTTGGATGCTTTTATATAGGCCTAAGTGGTCCCTAGTACTGTATCTGAAGTCTCTTTCCCGAAATTCAGCCTTGGTGCAGAATTTCAGCCACTACGAGCCAGTCCCACAATGAGCTTTCCTTAGGACGTGCCATTTCTGTGTCTGTAGCTTTAAATGCTAATGAGGAGGAGAGAGGCGGGGCAACTGCCATGCTTCGCTCGTTTGCAAGCCATGATGTCTCTCGAGGAAAAAAAAATATTGCGCTCGCCTCGCACGGTAGTAGCTCATTTTCTCATGGGCGGGCAAAGCAGAGAAAGGGGAGGTAACCTTTCCCCGTATGATGACATAAAGGGAAGATTCCAGATTGGGCCATCTGAGCTTTCATTTTCTCAAAGGCAAAGCAGGATACCCAGGGTTTACACCTATCGCCATTTCTAGCCACTGGGGGACCATAGGCAGGCTAGGGGAACTCATATTAATGTTAAAAAACCTCATAAAGTGAAATTTTCATGCCATGGGACCTTTAATGCTACAACCATATAAAGAAGCATAAAGCAAACAGTTACTATGTGAGGAAATTATACAAAATTATGTAAATATGAAAATATAGTATTACTGTAAATCCTGTACACATCTATATTACTGTATTTTATATTATTGCTTTGATAGATAGATAGATAGATAGATAGATAGATAGATAGATAGTATC